TTAAGTCAGTCCTCTTCAGATTATCACACTAGATGAGTGTTGAGTGTCAATTACGGCTGTCGTCGGTTGGTGGCTTAGGTGGGGGGGGGTAAATTAATTCTGATCAGGTTTGGTTCGTTAATCTCCCACTTCAGGGTGCTTCAGTTGATGATTCACTTGGGTTGTCACTGGTAGATTTTCCCCGGTTTTTGTGGGGTCTTGAGTGCTCCGACAATTTAGTCCGAGGGCTTGAGGTCAGGTAGAATCCAGATGATGACCACTCTTCCTTCTGATGACCGCACACCAACACGTGTCAGCTCGACTGATCCAGAATCGTTCTCCACACGCTTGCCTGTTCCACACTTTCTATTCTGTGAACACTGGGATGCTTGGCGATTTCTACCGCCTCGACGATCAGTCTGTGTGACGTGGACCCTAGTCATCGCCTCAAAACCTCAACATTTTCTAAATCTCTTGTGTCCCGTGTCGAGTGCATGTTCCGCAATCGCCGAGTCTTTCAGTAACGCTTGATATTCATCTGCGTTTCTCGGCGGCCTGTTTATTTTTCTGCTATGCTTTCTGACTCTGATGTGTAGTTCCCTGGCCGTCTGTCTTATATAGACCTTGGTGCAGTCATTACACTTGATTTTGTAGACATAGCCCCTGGTTCTGTTTGCCGGGAGGCGATCCTGATGGAGCAGTTAGCTGAATCACTGTGCTTGAATCTTGAATTCTCGTTTCTGCGACACAGCACACATCAATGCCAAGCGAATCCAGTGTAAGTGCAAGAGCAGCTTGTTGTCCTACTTGTTTCAGAGTGCGGACATTGAAAGCGGCCACATAGACTGGGTGTCGAGGCTTGAAGACCGATTTGGAGATTCCTGAGGATGTCGGCGCCATATGACGAGCAGATACTGCATGCAAAACCGATGCATGACGAACGGACTCATTAGACCTAAGTGCTGGGCCTACAAGGAGAGAGTTATTAATGGGGTGGGGAGAGGGGGAAGAAAAAGTATGTGAAGGAGAAAGAAGGGAGGCGTCAGCAGTAGCCTGTCTTCGCCTACCCGCCCTACTGTATGCAACAAGGAAGGCGACCCGGTTGATGGCACCACGCGACGGCCGATGTGACATGAGAGTATTGGTACTTGTGAATATCATGGTTGTACGAGGGCTGGGGTATTGCCAGGGCGCCCACACCTAGACAAGAGAACGATTAGGGTCCTCAACCAAAGCCTTTGGCTCAAAAGCCTAACCGCAAGGCAGCGGTGTTTGGCGGGAAATGCAAATGCATTACCATTTCTATGGAACAAGTCACCACATATTCCAACCTCCAACTTGGAGGGCCAAGAGACTGTTCGTCAGACCTCTAACCATTGACCAACCTGGTATGAGAGACTCTGTGAGTGTCACGGAGACAATTCTAAGTATAGCTGAATGGATCGCTGAGATGCGCAAACCGTCACACCACGGTAAGGTCCAGTCTCTTCGGGACGGAACTACTTCACACATTGCATCTGTTCGTGAACGTTGCAGAATAGGTGGCTATCCTGGTGATTCACAAACAGGGTGGTAACGTCCACTGCGTATCCTTCAATAGACACGGGAGCAGTTGCAACGACCGCTTGCGATGAGGAAGCCATGACGATTTTGCCTCACCGGGCTGCGCGGACTATTTTATTGAACACTCAACCAATGAAAATGGGGAGCTAGCTGCTACTGAAAGCCTTTATAGTAGTGTAAATCTGACTATGAATAGCGCATCCGGACAGGAATGGAAAATCTGAAGGTTGTGGTAATGGTGATATTCGGTACTGTATACTTTAGTATCTAAAAACATCACCTCTGAGTGCGAGTTCTGGAAGTTGATGTTTTGGGTATTCACCTATTCACGGATTGATACACAGGAACGAGGCTTCTACCCAAGTTTCCCGGGTTGGTTTGGTTCCTGTCGTTCACCTGGAAGGCACAAACGAAAAAAGGCTGCAGCACTGTTCTTCAAGTTCTCAGCGCTGGACAGTAAGCTTTCCAGCCTGTGGATTCGCATAAGAAAGCGTCTAATAATGCTTTGAACCGCGTACTGGATTTAGCGTGGACAACCGTTGATGGAAGGTTATTCCACGAGCAACCACTCGAAATGAGAAAAAACTACTTGCGGATATTTTTTTCTCATTTCGAGAATGCATACTTTCATCTGATGAAAGTGTGCGCACTGAGCTTAGAAATCTTACCATGTCCTCGCCGTGTGTTAGCTGGATCAACATTAAAAAACTTGTTGGTCAAACCTTGTTCAAACAGGGCATAAGTAAGTGTAAGTCTCTTTGCGGTCGAGGTACTCCTGGGGAAAGAGATCCGGCCCTTGGCGAGACGCGTTTCATAGTCCACGGATTCAAAGCCTGCAACCATTTTCATAGCAGCTCGTTGGAGAGGCTCAATTGAGGTTACCTCCTTCTTGCGTCCCGAGTAGACAACTTGATTGGCATATTCAACAAGCACTCTGATGTAGGCCCCCATAGAGTATTTGGAAATCCATTGGTGTAGAGTAGACAATTGATTGGCATATTCAACAAGCACTCTGATGTAGGCCCCCATAGAGTATTTGGAAATCCATTGGTGTAATACGGAAGAAGGTGCCCCGAATTGTCCGCAGAACGGTGAATGTCTTTTGAGCCAACTTCTCATGGTGCAGTGCGAAGGACCTGTTTGATGAGAGCCAGATACCCAAATCCTTTTTGGCATCCATCCTTGTGATGTTTTCTGGTCCATTCTCATCATGCATGATGAAGGCGTTCGCTGAGTCCCCTCCGAATGACCTATGGGTGCACTTTTCGACATTCAGAGGAAGGTGCGTTTCCAGCGACCGTTGATTTGCAGCGTCTACATCCATTTGGAAAAACTAGCTTTTGAACTCCAGGATTTCAAGCCGTCTGCAAAACGTAGACGTGAAAGTCTGGAAGGTCATTGACGTAGATCAAAAACAGAAGTGGTCCCAAAACAGAGCTTTGAGGAACTCCAATAGGGACCGGCGCCGGAGAAGAGTTGTTCGAGCCTTATTTCATTCTGAATGTACTGTCTGATAGGAACGCCTCAATCCAATGTGGAATTTCCCCTTGAATCCCGAAAGACTCGAGTTTGTGGATCAGCGGGACGTGTCGGACTCGATCGAATGCTCTAAAGGAGTCAGAAAATATAGCATCCGATATGAATCCCTCGTCCTTAGCTTGGGCTAAGCTTTCCATAGATACGAGCATGTTCGTCACGCAAGGACGGTTTGGGAGGAATCCGCGTTGAATTGGGGATATCAAGTTGTTGGCAGCAAGGTTGATCTAGGATGCGTTCCATCACTTGCATGGTACGTTGGTGAGGCCTATAGCTGCCAGGCGTTGGTCGGTCAACAGTTTTGTAGATTGGCATGACAATCGCTTCCTTCCAAGCAGAGTAAAGGTCACCTTCGTCAAGCGACTGACGAAACACAGTCTCCTGGTGTGAATGACGTTTCTTTCAGGATCCTTGAATGAGCCTTGCCTGGCCCCAACGCGCAGAAAAGGTTTGTTTTGTGCAAGAGTTGACTAATTTCCTCTCCTGTGAAGACCATGTTGGTTAGAGACCGTTCGTAGTTACGCGTCGACAAGGTTGGGTGTCATGAGGTCACTGGGGTAGAATACATGCATGCATAATGTTCTCTATAGACTTCAGATACCACTATTGGGTCACTCGTCGGTTGCCCTTTCCTGTTCCTCAAGGTAGGGCGATCGAAATTGGTAGGGACCTGCGTTTTGGGCACTTCGCAAATAATTGTTGGTTTCGAGGTTTTTCAGGTATTCTGTTTACTGTCCCAGGATAACTGATGCTTGCATAGGTCACCTAATTGAGCAGTACCTGTTTATTTGCGTATGTGCGGTTCATAGTTTCACTTGGGCTGGGATACTGCCAGGGCGCCCACACCTAGACAGGAGGACGATTAGGGTCCTCAACCAAAGCCCTTGGCGTCTAATCGCAAGGCAGCGGTGTTTGGTGGGAAATGCAAATGCATTACCAGTTCTACGGAACAAGTCGCCACATGTTCCAACCTCCAACCTGGAGGGCCAGGAGACTGTTCGTCAGACCTCTAACCATTGACCAACCTGGTGTGAGAGACTGAGTGTCGCGGGACACTCCCCAATATAGCTCAAAAGGTGCGCAAACCGTCACACCACGGTAAGATCCAGTCTCTTCGTATGAAAAAGATCATGAAACGCTTGGGTGCTGTCGGCGCTACTCGCCTTCCAGGATAGGGACCGCGTGATCCTCACTGTGTCTCGTTGGAGGCACTACAAGATATGTCTGCCAACCGATGTCAGTGGCGTTCTTTTTGTCAGTTTCTATCCAGATCGCCTGAATGAGTGTTTGCAGGTATAGGCACCTCGGAATGAGTGGCGTAAGTTGGCATTAAGTCCCTTCCCAGTCCAACTTTACTCTTTTCTCTACAATAAGGCTTTCAAATAAATCATGGTTGTACGGCAGTGAAGCATCGGTGTTGAACACTGATGTCATGCTGTCGATGATGATGATGATGGTAGTACCTGTTCTGTTATAACTATGGCTCGTCTGTCTCTAATGTTACTTCACTTACTCGGTGATTAGATCGCGAATTTACTGACCGGGAGGTCCGTGGTTCGAACCCGACCTCTTCCTCTCCACTTCTCTTGTCTACGCTTGGGCAACCTAGCAGTATCTCAGTCCTCGTGCTTCCTTTTGGTGGCATAGCAGCGGGGCACCAAAAGGCGCCAGCTGAACGATTTTATTTTTTTTAAATTTCACTTCCAAATGATTAATAGGTGTGATGTTAACTTCTTGCAACTTATCTGAGTTGTCATTTGGTGACTGGTCATTCGCCGTTTAGCTGGTGTCACTGATGCTTTCTTTCACGCACTGGGCATAATCCAGACGTATAAACATTCCATTGCCTTTCATACATGTTTACCTATCCCCCTTTTACAGCATTCGCTTGTTTCTCTCAATGAAGCGAAAAATCAAATACGCAATGAGTTTCAAGTAATCGAATGTTGCTTCCGGGCCTCCAGATGTTTATGCTGCACGTCACTTCTACCTGTAACCCCTACAGATACCAGAAGGCAGTGGTTGCCAGCTGTAGTACTCCAGTCGATGACTGGCAGCAGTTTACTACCGGCTTCTTCAACGCCTTCAGATGAAACAACTGTCCAGTTTCCCACGTTCAGCATTGTTGATCCCCCTAAACTTCTTCCGATTCCGGCGGTTGCATCACCCTCTTCTACCTGTCATAGCCCCTTTCGCTGGGCTCTGGCCGTGCCGCTAGAAGCAACCTACACCTACCTACGGGAAGAGGAGCAGTGTGTATTTCATTTATCTGTGGAACCGCGTTGTGGAATTGCCAATAGTATCCCCATCAGTTGGGTAATGCCCCAATCTACCTTGGTAATTTCGTCGAAACGTAAACCAAATCCGGTTAGCCTCATAGCCTACACAACTACGGACATTTTACACCAGTCTATCTCCGAATTTCACATGCACATGGATATCAATGTGTTGCAAAATGGGGTGGTCCAGTGTCGTTTCACTTTAATGCAACCGGTTTGTGTATCTTTCTGTGATTTGTTACAAAGAGCTAGCTCATTGTCACGCCTGACTGTCGCTCCGATCTGGTCATCAATCGAGCCCGAAACCATCTATTCGCGGCACTGTCGCTGGCGTCTCCGGGCAGCTGCATTTCACCCGACTGGCTTCTTGGAATCACCCGCTTTGTCTACGCTTAGAACGTTCTTTCAGACAAAACTGCTACATCTTCCGTTCGAAATATTGCTGGACAAGACAGGACAGTGGCATTGGATTACAGCTGGACCGTTTGAAGGACTAGCGCTGTGTATTACGTATCCGGAGGAAGACAAAAGTGGGTCACTCATTCTCCAAGCTTTCTCAAGGTGTGTTGAGTATTTTTACAGCCATTGCTTTTCTGGTTTGTTTATATTTCTGAAGGCTCCCACGGAGCACCTGCCAATGGGAAACTCATTTAACTCATCCAAAACATGTTGGTTGAACGATGGCCAGGTGATCCAAGCACCGACAAATGTAACTTAGATAATTTGACCCCATGCACTAGAAGTCTTTCCTTAGCATTGCCCCGCTTTTTCCATTTCCGAGGAACTCTGTATATTAAAGTTCAACTAATGGAACACAAGCCAACTACTCCCTCCTTCCCTCATCCATTTCACGCCGTACTCCGACTAGTGTCATTGCAAAGTATATGTCCTAACCAGCGAGACCTATAATTGAGTCCGTCGCAGAAAAGTTCCTTTCTCCTAAAACCATCTTTCGGAACACTTCAGCATTTCTGATCCTTACAATGACCAGGAGAAAAAAGTGGGTCAGGGAGAGGACCTGGTGCCTGGCTGTCTCAAAGATTCTGAGTTCTCTACACCTATAAGTGCTCAATCAGATAATCTGTAAAGAAACCGATAGCACGAACGCCACCGACATCGGTCAGCTGCCATTTCTTGCCATATTTGGCCAAGCGTAGGCGGAGTCACGGGGACCCCATCCTGGAGGGCGTACAACACCAACAACTCTTCGTAATCTCTTTCAGACCCTTCTACCACCTCACGGTTCGTGCCATTCTGAAGGAGGCACGGAGAACAACCCTCGTCTCGGTAGACAATGTTTCGGTATACGTAGCGCATGGCCGTACCACGACAGTTGATGTCTCTGTTTTTTTCCTCGATTGAAGCGTCTTCTGCACAACCAAATACCCGTTTTCCAATTACCTCGATAGTGACCCAGCAGCGCTTCTGAAGCATCGGCGGTCAAAAACCTGAAAACACCTTGTATCGTCTGTCCTCAGAAGTCGCGTCTTGCAGCCGTCAAAAACGCCTGCTACAAGAGACCCTGAAGACCCATTGATATGCCTATTTGACGCCACAAGTGACGCGATTCCGTGATCGAAACGTGATTCCGGTTTTCGAGATTTCTGCATTGACTTTATGAGACACATTCCCGTCAGACGTAGTACAACAACCCAGGTGTGGGAAATTTTCCACAAGTGTAAGGGGCGCTTTTAGAGACTGCACGCTCTGAAGCATAAATTTGCACTTTGAAGGTGCACGGCGCGTGCCGAAGGATGGTACGATGGTGGTCAGTCTATTCAACAGGGCCTGTGCTTCGCCTTGGTCTTCAAAGATGAGGGCGATATCGTCTGCCCATTCAAAATATCGACATGCTCTCACCAGCAGCAGTTTGAATACCGAAATCTTGAAAACCTTTCAGCGTTCAATATCTGTGAAGTTAAAGAAGAATGAAGAGAACAGACGTCCTTTTCGGACACCACCTTTTGTAGAAAATTTTTGTAGAGCTCACCATACACTCTCACACGCCCAGAATTATTCGAATATAGGGATCGGACTATGTTCACAAATTTATTGGGGCATACCCTTTTGAGCAGGTGTGATTAACAGCATTGACCGATCGACAGAATCGAACGCGCCCTTGAAGTTGAGGAATACCGTGATTGTGGGTCGTCTGTACATACGGCTTTGCTGTATCATCTGACGGAATGTGAAGATGTGGTCAATGCAGCCTATAACCGGTTGAAATCCCGTTTGATGCTCACAGGATTTGTGTGCCGCCGCAAGAGGACGAAGAGCCAGTGACGCCAGAGGCCTTGTTACAACACCCTGTTACCAACACCCCTGTGGTTACCACATTAACTGCGAGCATCCATTTTGAAAACGGGCACTATTATCGACTCAGCCCAGGTATCTGGAAAGTTCTCTCTCTCTCCCAGACAGATATAAGTAGGCTAGACAGGCACTGACTAAAAAATTCGCCGCCATCCATGATTTGCGCAGGTGGAAGGTCGTCAGGACCAGGAGTATAATGACGCTTCATTAGGGATGCACACTCGGAGACTGTAGGAGTTCCATGTTCACAGCCCACCTTTCTGTTCATCATCGACAGCATAACATCAGTGTTCAACACCGATGCTTCACTGCCGTACAACCATGATTTATTTGGAAGCCTTATTTTGAAGAAAAGAATAAAGGTGGACGTGGAAGGGACTTAATGCTAGCTTACTATAATCATTCCGAGGCGTCTACACCTCCAGACACTCATTCAGGCAACCTGGATAGAAACTGACAATAAGAACGCCACCGACATCGGTTGGCAGACATATCTTGTAGTTTCTCCAACGAGACACAGTGAGGATCACGCGGCCCCCATCCTGGAAGGCGAGTAGCCCCGGCAGCACCCAAGCGTTTCCTGATGTCCTTCACACTCCTCTGCCAAGTCAACTTTTGGCCACCTCTCTTCTTCCGCCACTCTGGATTGGGCATGGAAAATAGCACTCACTCTCTTCAGCCAACGATGGTTCGGCATACGCAACGCATGTTGAAGTGGTAAACTTGAGTTTCACTCTTGCTATAGTTCACTAGCGATGCATATTTCCTGCTTTTTCAGTACTAGAACTCCAATTATCTGACAAGCGAGGCTACTACATCACTGTGCTGCATCCAACTTTCTTAATTCAAATCCTGTTACTACGTGTAGTCGATCAATAATCGCTCAGCAGCTTCTGGGCATTTGTGGGGCTTGCTGGACCGGATGTCGCGACAGGCGAGCCCATCGGTCGGCACAAATGGAATGCTTACTGATCGACGTTCCGGCCATAGGCGAGCCAGTCAGGTTGCCCAACCGTGAGCACGCTAGTCTGCTCGTGTTTGTCTGGGTCCTATTAAATTCCGGCGCGGTCGGGAATATCCGCAGTTAATGAGGTTTATTTAGGACAATTTGAGCTTCTTCACTTTATTCCTCGTGCAGGGACGGAAGTGAGAATGTCCGAAAGCGGGTGTTGTAAACACGTGTTTTCTAATTCGAGACAACCATAGCGGCAAACGAGCGTGTATACGAAACTACAGCACTGGCTCTTGTGTTGTATGTTCGTGAGACGAGACCTATGCGAGTAGAGCGAATGAGATATCTTCAGGTCTTCGGTGGTCATCTTTATCAAGCTTGCCTTCACTTACAGAGCGGATTGTCTGTCGAAAATTCCAAAATCTCACGTTACCAGCGAAATAGGAGTAAGCCACGTCACGTGACGAGTGGACGTTCCATCTTAGAAGTCATTACTCGAGGAGCCAGTCAGTGTGTGATTACTTGACGTGGATTGCGTGGCTGATGGATGAATAGCGCTAAATCCTGTCTAGATGCTCATCCGCTCCTGGTCGAATGGCTAAGTGTTCATCTACCATCCGGGAGTTCCCAGTAAGAATGAAACAACTGTACAGTGCTTCTCGACTTTTCATCACGGATGGCCTTCGTTTACAGGACGAAACGTCCATCGAAAAAATCCTCACCGTACTACGAGATGGTCATCGTCTCGGAAATGTGGTTGTCGACTTCCGGTGCCAAAGGTTCCTCCGCAACGAGACAGTTCAAACATGAATGTAGCAGATACCTCAATAGGGAAATACATCCACCATCAGAAGTTGTCTTGGTTTAGTCGTGTGTTACTAACACGGAATCATAGCCTGTGGAAAATAATGTTTTGTCTAGCACCAAGTGCCTTGGTCATAAATCATGGACGAAAAGTTTGGGTGCTTTTCAGGACGAGGTCCGCATTATTCTTCCTGCGCTTTGTTAGAGAGACACAGTCTGTGGTTGCTAACTGTCAGTTCGTATCCATATTTTCCGAATGAGTATTTGGAGGTGTAGATATTTCGATGTGATCGTAGTAGACTAACACAAGGGTTCCTTCCGTATCCCTTTCCGCAATGAAACTCCAACTATAGTTTCATAAAGGTTGCTGAAAACTCTCCGACGGCTCACGACCGGTTTCGCCTTTCTTGGGGCTCATCAGGTAGGCGCAGTCCCAGAGTTTCCGTCAACCTTGTGTTCTACATGAAACCGGTCGTGGGCTGTCGACGCGTTTTCAGCAACCTTGTGAGTAGCTGACTTTATAAAAATATACTGCGACATCCCGAATATCGTGCCAACTGAAACATGAGGTGGCCTGTGTGCAGTACATTCAGTTGTAGAATATCATAAACGAGGGATTCAGTTGAGTCTCTCGTGAAAACCAAATTGATTTGCAAATGAGTGTATTTCTCCAACTATAGTTATAATTTTTAGTGGTAATGCAGCGGAGTGTATATCTTTATTGCTCTTGATGTGCTGTTGACAATGTTATAAATGCAAACTGGTCAAGTTCATAATTACCTACGACGAATTGTGGACAGTATGCGAAGTAAATTCCATCTGTAATTTCGCGACGCCGCCATCCAACCCTGTTTGCCGAGCCTGATTTACCCCCCCCCCCAAACACATCCTCAGTACGGCCTTCTCTTCCAGAATTTCTCATGTTTGGTTCAAAAGTACAATCTGTAGTGACTCATTTTCTATTCTTTATTAACTCCAGTTACTGCAAACCTCTTGACAGAAAACACTTCCATTAGAGCTCGCAACATTTTTATAAGGTTGCTGAAAATTCGTCGACAGCCCACGACCGGTTTCGACCTTCTTGGGGCTCATCAGGTAGGCGCAGTCCCCGAGTTTCCGTCAACCTGATGTTCTACTTGAAACCAAATTAGTTCGCAACACCGACTTCCATCAGTGACAGCTGCTTTTGTAGTCGCTTCTAAGGAAAACCACCTCAGGGAAGTCTTCTTCGTTGTTACGTTCGATTTTCGACGGATTACGGTTCTGTATGAGCAATATGGCTGTAATTGCGTATAAACGATGTCTAACAAGCCAGTACTCCTGTATCTTTGCCGTCGATCGGGGTGCAGTTGGGAAGAAATGGTGCTGCAGTCTGATGTGGATATGATCTAGTTCAGCTGTAGCACTCTTCCGGTGCCTAGCTGCCATGCCACCCGAAGGAAGCAAGAGGGCTGGGATACTGCCAGGTTGCCCAAGCCTAGACAGGGGAAGTCGAGAGGTGGAGGTGGGATTCGAACCACGGATCTTCCGGTCAGTGAATTGGCGCTCCAACCACTTAGGACATCTCGCAGTAGTAGTGGACATGGTCGGAGCAGTTTTTGTATTAGAATGTTGCGTTCAAGCACTTTTCTCCTCGTGTTATAAACGTTTTCCACCACGTTCTTCATGGGCGTGTGGAAACACCACAAAAGTACCAACTGGTTTGGGCGCTGGTTGCATTTTTTTCTTAGTGGTAATATTGATGCAGGTCTAGGCTAAGTCGCGTACGATTTATAACTTTCTGTTCGTTTTCAAACAGACTTCAAGCTTATTTTTTCGTACCGTTTGTTTCCGTTGTTTGTCTTTGCAGTTCACAGTCACTGTTAGACCTGTTTAGAAGAGCCCTTGATGAATTCCCGGCTGATCAGATCCGGTTTGAGGCGCTTGATGGTACAGCTCTGGCTGCTAACCACGACAATCAACCCAACGGTCCAACTAACTCGGAACTTTCGCTGCTGACCGATTGTTTGTTGGCGGAAATCCAGTTCCTAACCAACCAACTAGAGACTGTGATTCGAGCTAGCATGCGGGAGCGTGTCCCACCAGTCTCCACTATACTGGAAGCTGGTGGAATCGGGGGATCTTTGGACCTGGCCTATCGTCTTACTGAGTGGCGCGATTTGGTGACACAATCGCACATGTTGCCGGTATCTCGACTGGATCCCAGTCCCCACTACAGTGACCTGTGTCGACGGACAGACCGCACACTGAAGCAGTTGTGTTGCCAGCGTACCCCCTGACGCAAGAGTCATTTGAACATGTTCTCTCTTCCGACCACCCAGATCTCCAGATGTTTATTTTTATATTCAAATACAATCGTATCATTGTTATTCTTGCCAACCCCTCTAAATTGCAGGGTTATTTAGCCTCGGGCATCTTCAACGGAAGCTTCGTGACACGTAATTATCTCATTAGGAAAGTTCCGAAAATGAGAAGAATGCTTTTAAGGCGTATAAATACTTTTCAAATAAACGCCAGTTGTTCGTTACACATGATCATGCGTAGAAGAGACGAGGCGAGGTGGCTCAGTGGTTAGAGCGCGAATTTACTGACCGGAAGGTCCGTGGTTCAAACCCGACCTCCGCCTCTCGACTTCCCCTACCTAGGCTTAGGCAGCTTGGCACTATCCCAGCCCTCGTGCTTCCTTCGAGTGGCCTGGCAGTTAGGCACCGATAGGGTGTTACAGATGAATGGTTTATTATTTGTTTTTTAGTCATCTTCCCAATTACGTTTAACACCAATACGTTTTGCCGGATGAGCCATCAGGGATTCCCTGACCTCTATAAAAAGAGCTGAGTGTAGACCGTCTGGTCCTTGTATCCCCTCTCTTTTCAGCAGGCATGTTTCGAATTTTATTTACTCTTTTACTGGCACTTAAGGTTTGCATTTCATTCGCTCGAATACACTGTGTTGCTGCAGGCCAGCCATCTAAGTATGCGGTCCGACTTTCCAATCGGTGTTTCCAGTTACTGAGCCGTCTGTTCACTTATCATTTCACTAACTAAATGGTATAGGGCATGGCTGTTTCTGGTTACGGAAACCTGTTCCATCTCCCGAGCTTTCGGTTTTCTTTAGACTTTCCACTATTTGACGTTTGAAGGATTTGTGTGCGCCGTCGTACTCGTTGCTTGCTGATATGGGTTTTCTGACATCGATCTGAACGATATTCAGCGGTCATTCGACCTCTAGCAAATCGAGTTCAGCTCTGCGGGTGAGTGCAACCCCCACACATTCCACGAGTTCTGAATCACTGGACACAGGAAGAGCGAGACCTAAAGCAATCGGACCTAGAACAGGGAGGCGTTCATGGGGGGGGTAAAGTTGTACCGTTTGAGAGTAGCAAGATGTTTTCTTCCTGCGACCAGCATGTCCATATTTACGAAGGCAGCGATGCTATGACGAAGAACAGGGTAGAAAAAGTCGGCTTTACAATCCACATACTGCGATCCGTTTACCATGACCGCCGCTGACTTATCCAATCTGATCGAAAAACAAACACGACTTTCCGTGAGCTTTTGCTGCCTCAAACGGATCTGCTGTAAGGAGTAGTATCATTCCGAATTCTATGGTAACATCGATTCCAAGCATGCTTCTGGGATACCGGTGGTCGAATCCTCCACCCGAACTGGCCAACTCTTGTATCCGTCCAACACACCGCAGATGGTCGCCTGATACCTTCGCGACCTAATAGTGTCGCCACAAGTGGCGCAAATTGGCAAAGGCACTGCCGTCTTGGAGTTTGTTTGTGTCGCACTAACCTCAGAGCTAATCTCTGACAAACCTGCCACAAAGTAACTCAATTACTAGTCTCTCCAAACTCTAGAGGAGAGCCCTTCACCGCATGGACGATTTCCTATTCTCCTGGATGTTTATTTTTCGTCTCAGGACTTTCGTGTCGCCCAAAACATCGTCCGCCTGAATGTTGTTTACCAGTGCCTCAGTATTGTACAACGGAATCGATCATTTGAAAGAAAATGGATTTGGGAAAAGGGAACCAAATTGTAAATGGTCGGTTCCCAATACTGGCCTGTCACAGGCGCAACAGGCTACATATCTCTACTAATCAGTTAGGCAATACCGGAACTCAAATGGTAACGCAGTATATCCAAGTATTGGGACGTCTGGGGACGCGCACGCACAAGTAACGCGATTCGCTTCGGACCTTCATTGGATTTGCAGAAATGCACAATACGAGCGAATTTCATCATTGCTGGCGAATTCTCGGACACTGTTTACTAGATACCCTTGTCGTTCCGGATATCGGAATGACTTCACTGTCTGATACCTCGAATAAATCACTTACCCTTGCCGTTCCGGATATCGGAATGGCTTCACTGTCTGATACACCTCGAATAAATCACAACGGTCATTGAGCTGTGGCATCTTTCGATCCCGTGCATGTCGAAGGCTGCCCAAGCCTAGAGAGAAGCGATCGAAAAGTCAGGGTAAGGTTCTGACCACGGATCCCCCTGGTCAGTGGTTTCGGGATTGGCAGTTGTTCATAGAGCCGAGCGCTCCGTACGTTTCACCGAGTTGAGATGACAATTAAATCTACGTGCTCTTCAACAAGCTCTCGCGTATTGTCGAGATAAAGACCGTCTAATTTTGCGGGTATCTGCTCAAAGTTGTAATCCCCGTAGATATCTTTTCCTCACGCCACGCTGGATTGTAGCTCAATGGTTAAGGCGCAAACTCACTGACCTGAGGATCCGTGTTTCGAACCCGAACTCTGCATCCCAACTGCTGCTGTTTAAAGGCAACCTGCTCAGCCCTTGTGCTTCCTTCGGATGGTGGCCTGACAGCCAGGCACCGGAAGGGTGTTACAGCTCAGGCGCCACCCCTGTACTTTCCATAGGGACAGAGAATGCAGCACAAGTCATACGCCTATAAAACTGTGTTGATTGCGCATCATTTGTGCACAAGTCAGAGCTCGAGTGGATTGCTGATGAGTGATGATATACAATAATAGTTCGGTGCCAAATAAATCAATAAAAAATAGCACAAATACACTTGGTTCTGCGCCGGCCGACGGCTTGTTGGCTGTTCGCAGTTGCCCGGGGCTTTGGACTCTGAAATCGCTGGGCGACGAAAGCAAACCAAAGCGAAAGGAAGTAAAACTTTGGAGTCGTTTGTGCATGTGTACAATACAGTGGTGGTAGCATATTATTGGCCCAGTGATATTCATGAATCACACGGGGGAGGCGAGTTTCAATTCGAACGATAGGATTTGATTGAAATGCTTAGCGGGTCGAAACTGCGCGCTTTAACTCGGTTTCCGTATGTATGCACTTGATGAGCCGTCCCACACGTACTGCTTGCTTCGTCCGTTCAAATGATCGGAATCCACGCTGTCAGATGTGGGGAGATCATCGTAGTCAGCGGCCAGCGCTGAAGCTGTTGTCTGGGATGCAGTACAACTCAGTCCGGGCGTTGAAGGACTTCGGTTCATATCAATCCACTGGTCGTCTTCGTTGGATTGTTGCGCCGTCTGCAACCACATGGCGGTGGAGTGGTCCGTAGTAGACGTTCTTCTTGGAGGCAATGTGGATTGTCCTGGTTGAATCGGATCCTGCGTTGTACCGATCACCGAGGCTCCCATGCGAGGCTGTGCACTGTGTACCATCCTGTTTGGGGTGAGGTGAAAGAAGGAATAACTACTTTAATGGAGACATTGTTACGATGATAAGTAATGATAACCGTTCAGATGACACGGAACTTTTCTACCGTGCAAACCGGAAGGGAACATCAAGTCTGCGTTGCTATCAGTGAAAGGAGGAAGGCCTTCGCTACCAACTGACCGGTTACAGACTATTGGACAGGGAAGCAAAACTCTCATATGCATCTTGTCTACAAAAACTGAACATCCATCTTCTCCTTGAACGCGTCTTCCTGAACTTTCCTGGATATTCATTGATTGTTTCTCAAATCGAAGTAAATGCTACAAAGCGACTCCACAAATTCCGTAATAGATCTCACTTTTCAGGGGGCACAACGCGGATTTACGAGAAAACATACTACTCGCATGCCTCCCACATCAGCAGTATCACCGTTAGATCAGGTTACCCAAGCATGGAGAGAATGCACTCAAAAGGCCAGAGTTGGGTTTGAACTACGGACCTTCCGGTCACTAGTCTGGTGCCTCAACCATTGCGCTTTTTATATCTTGAGGCGGTAGTATAAGATAACTTGAATGCTGACTGATGGCACCCATCCGTACGCGGAGGGACAACCAGAGGGTTACCAAAACGTTTCACAACTCTCACAGTTACCTTTGAGAACGAGTAGTTTGTTGTGAGGTCTTCGAGCTGCCCAGCGGTGCTGTGGAAATTGTGGTGCTTGAATTACGGCCACTGTCCGAACTGACTCCATCGACCGGCAGTCTCTGTGTTGTCTCGGACGCACTTAGTGTCCCAGGAGAGAGTGTGGGGTCAGAAATGAGGGACGGTCTTCTCCAGCGACTGTCATCGGAAGTGCCGAGGCTCGTCTGACTGACGAGTTGCGATTGCCTCATAAGTTCGTTATGCCATGCTCGAAGAAGTTGAATCCGTTCAGCCTCATTTGCCAGCAAACGAGCTTGAGCCTCTGCAAGCCGTGCCTGAGATGCGTCCAGTTCATCTCGAATGCTTGCCGGCACAATTGGACTTGCCTGCGCAATGAAAAGCATAGTGAGTGGAAGTTAGCGAATAATCCGGTGATAATGCAGTCCGAAAGAAGTAACCTAATTCGAAAGGCACAGAAGAAATGCATCATTCCGTAAGTAAGGTTTAGCGATGAATCGGAAGCGTGTAGAGAGTCACACTTTCCAAACGTCTTGGTTCTTTCAGACCACTTGGACCGCTTTCGGTAGCGAGAGAACTGGATGAAGACTGCCCAACGATATTTTTGTAGGGTTTCATAACTCGTAGGGTTCTAAATGCGTCCAGACATGTTTTGATGACCTGACTATCAGGTATTTATCATCCCCCCAAAGGTCACTATGTTAATAGAACAGGAGACCCGGTGAGCGGATCGTGCGTTCTTGGTAAGATAAACTGTCTGAAAGCGAATCAAGCAACCGAGGTTGTTATTCGGCGTGACCTCGGGGAGTGTTTCACATCAGTGAGTTTTATCAATTGTATAGGATGGCGACAATTTTCTGACAATTTCCTGGAAATTTGTAAACGTTGAAAACAGCGGAGCGTTCTTCGAGTCGACAAACACGCTCGTTTAATCTTGTTTTGAATTCATTGTGAACTTTTGAACTGCGATGATCACAACCAATCAAACTATCATCAGCATACCTGAACAAGCAATCAATCAATCGGCTTATCAGCTATAAACCGTAGGCACATTGGTTCCAGCTGCTAAAGTTTCGATAGCAGGAAAAAGTGAAAGTGGAATACAAAACCAAGCCTTGGAGGCGAAGGCATGCTCAGTTTGTTCGGAAATCGGGTAGCTACGCATTGAAGGCGAAAGCTTTGATGCACTCTGTGAGGCAGACGGTCTTCTGGCATGCCGAGTACGTGGCACAACCAGCGCAGCCTATGAAGCGGGAAAGTTCCTTCCTCCTAAGACCATTTGGCGTACCTCAGCATTACTAATGCGATGTTCTCACAAGACCTGACCAATGCTTCGGAGACACCTATGATCAAACACTGACATCTTCCGCATACTTGAACCGACAGAATGAATCAGAACAGACTAGAAGTGGGTGTACTAAAAACGGGGAGAATAGCACCTTGCAAAACGCCTGTTTGGGTTGGTAGTGATGGAGACTTTCGGCTACCCAGGTATAAAAACTGATCGTGTCGTGTATGAACTGGGCAATGTGACCGTCCATCCGGTGCGGATATCTTTCTCATGAAGGAACACGAGGAACTACAGACCGGACAAGTCAAAATGCCACCTACCTCAACCGGAAACAGACTTGGCCTCGCTGACCCGAGAACTCCAACGGAACGCACGCTGTCCGAGCCAGAAATATGATAAACCTGATTGTAGCCCTCCAGAACGGCATTTAGTGTGCTGCTGTGTCTCATTTCGTCGCCGGTGAAGGCCGAGTCCTGTCGATCTTCAGAATCTTCATGCTGCATCTGTTTCAGTCCGTTCGGGATAGCTCCTGCACTACTCTTTCTAGGAAGAATTTCTCTTCCCAAGTAAGTAATCGATGGAGGCCCCACATCGCTGACACCGTCGATCAACCGACGATCCACTTCAGCACGTGTGGACGGACGGAATTCACCAGGCGAGGCTGAGTTTTCCTCACTAATTTTCCGGCTATTCGGCTTGTTTCGAACCGCAACCAACAATGCCTCTGTGGTTGGACTGTTATTCAGGTTCACATATGTATGTCTTCCACCTTGATTTGACGAGCCTGTGAACGAATTCGACCGTAGTGGAGGGGCTTGAACTAATGGTGTCAGGTCTTTGTCAGCTTGTTTGACCGGCGAACTTGTTGTGGAACCAGAATAACACGAGGCGACTGAAGTGCCAGGCGAAGGATGGACGGCATAGAGAGGATTTGTTACAGTACACGTCAAACTCCCGCTCGTTTGAGATAGAGCAAGAGGCGAATCGCATTCCCCCAAATGGACGATAGTTGATGGCGTAGGATCACAGGGTGGCGGATTGTAACTGTAGAGTTCGTGACGTCCCAAGGACTGGTAACCCGAGGAGCTTGAATTGGCGGCTGTGTAAGCAAGACAAGTAGGAGGAACCGCACGATTTCTTGAAATGTGAACGAAGTTCGCAATTTGCGGGGCTTCGGGTTTTGGACTGAAAGCTTCGAGTGCGGTTGATTTGGGCTGAGAGTCAGTATCGATAGACCAAAGCGTACTGTCCTCAGAGGGGACCTTTGTCACGAGTCTTGATATTGTTCTTGTCTCCTCAATGCGGCCGTACTCGGGTCTCATCGGCGTACTTCTGGAGGATATGGTTTTTCCAACGACTGATGGTTCTGTCTGTAGAATAAAGTAGGGATGCAGGAGGGTATGGTCACCAAAAACGCACCATTAGCCAGACTATAGCCAATGTTAGTGAGCCACTCACGTAAATATGGACTGCAAAATCTCAGAGGGTTTCGAGTCGGTATCTAGCAGCGAATGTTATCCGACCTGGTAAAGGTCTGTCGTGAGTTTATCACATCAGACAACGTGTGAGCGCATACCTAACAAGGCTGGTCATAAACTTTTGGTGATCGATTTAATTCAGGATACTATGAGTCTAATATGGATTTCTTTCTGGAAGTCTATGCCGAGAAACACTGTGTACGCGCTTCATCCTTAGTGAGAATGCTGGTGACTACATAGTGGATGTAGAAAACGAAGCTTTCCTTCATTCACGTGACCACCTGGTCACGTGTTGACTGGCTGTTCAAATGATGCCACATCCTATCTAAGTGGGACCTAATCAAGCTGCTGATCAGTTGCTCGTGGCCGAACTATTTCATCTTCAGCTATCGACCAGGAGGGTACAAGTTTGGATTCGTGAGGTGCGAACTACTGGTGACAGGGACGAAAGAACAGTACAGTGTTTTTCAGCATAGATTGCGTCCACTTGCAGGACGAAATCTTCAGTGAACTTTCAGTGGAAATGGCGAGATGGCTCAAGTGGTTAGAGCACGAATTTACTGACCAGAAGGTCCGTGGTTCGAACCCGACATCTGCCTCTCGACTTCCCCTGTCTAGGCTGGGGCAACCTGGCAGTATCCCAGCCCTCGTGCTTCCTTCGGGTGGCATAGCAGCTAGGCACCGAAAGGGTGTTACAGCTGTACGATCTTTTCATCTCCACATAGTATCACCATACTATGAGATTTCTGTTCGTGTCAGCGTAATTTTTCAACTCATATCTTACCGTAGTCGATGTGACAACCTACATCATTAAGCACTGAAGCCGATTTATTTGATCATCTGGCTGTAGTTTCCAGAACCCCTGTGATTAACTTCTCCGTGGAAATTGCTGATGAGCGTACCAGATGCTATAGCTAACTATTTCTCATCTTTCATTCCCACCGAACCACATGAAGAAGCTATCGACTGACTGTTGAATAAGACAGTTTCGAGTATGCAAGAGTCTTCGACGCTCCCTTTCACTGCATCGAACAGGCCAAATCGCTCACCAGACCAGTTTTTCATTTCTGGTTATCCTGACCTGTCAGTCCATTGTGAAGTGAAGGTTCGACGATACATCGCACGGAATAACCGGATTCACCAGGGGGGAATCGTCCAGCAGTACAACCCTTTGGGTGCCTAGCTTCCCGTTATACTCGAAGGAAGAACGAGGAATGAGCCACTGCCAGATTGCTCAAGCCTAGACGGGAGCAGTTGAGATGCCGGAGCTGGGTTCAAACCACGGACCTTCCGGTCAATAACCAAGCTATCTGGAGCTAAGCAGAGGCAGGTAGTCCTATCACGTGATCCTTATAACGTTAAACCATAAGTTCAGTTAACTTTTGGTACTATTCCCGACCCATGCAACATTCCAGTCTGAAGTCATCTGTCAGGAAGGTATGAGATATCCTAAGAGAGTCCTCGCAACTGGTTAGTCTAGGCGTCACACCTTAGGTGAACTTCAGGGTGCTAGGAAGAGAACCTGTGCAACGTTGTCTCCAGAAGGCCTTGCGTAATATCATGAACTCACACATCCTGAAGAGGATAAGCGCTTTAAATCTAACGTCGAAAAATGAAAGGAGGTGCACAAATCGATTCACGTTGTTCAGCTCTCGCCATGCAACCAGGAGTTAGGGCGTGGGCTCCTCTCTGGGAAGTCCACTGTTCAAGTGCTCTTGGCTAAGCCCGGAAGACCGTACAGTATCTCAATGACCGTGTTTTCTTCGGGTTGCTTAACATCCAGACGTGGAAAGGATGCCACAACTGAACTTTTCCAAGCAAATCATGCTGCACAGTCTTATGACCAAAAAGAAAGCGAAAACGTGGAACTAATATTGGTTTACTGAAGGCATTCAAAAGTGTCTTTATCTCTAAACAGATACCACGTGACAGCCAATGCCACTGAATCTAGTCCTTGACTCTTGGATAATGAAGGCCCCCCAATCAAAACGTTTTCTTTGTTGAGCGCAACCCCCCGGGGATTGAGTTCTGACCCAAAGCAACTACCCCATTCAAGTATCGCCTTCCTGAAGGCGAGAGAAGCTTAAGCTAACTGGTGGTGGGCACATGAACAATTTATGTTTCGGATCGAAAAGTTGAACAGAAAGCTGGGTGAAACTGAATAGGAAGGCCCTCAAAGACTAGTGGAATGTTTGTTGTCTAAAAACTCACCGTCGTCATTGGGGTGATGGATACCAGGGGCTGTTGGCATTTCACGTTAACTGAGACCCGCATGTCCTTGTTGGATTCTCTCTCCGGCAATTCGATGATCACAGGTCTATGTTGCCGCTCGTCCTGCAGCATACTTTCCGCCAATCCTTCACTCGATCGATCAGAAGTCGTCGATACGCGCATTTCATAGCCATTACTTCTGTACTGAACTGATGTATGACCTTCTGGCTCAATCGGCTTCAAGCAACCGCTCGATCGCGATCGAACTGTCGAAACACGGTCAGTCTCCGGTGGTGGTGATGGGCTCGAACGGATCACAGGTGACATATTTCGTTCGGTCAGATGATTTCTAATCTGAACAGTGCCATTCTCCTGTTTTCGTGGGGCGGTCGAAACAGACCGCCACCAGTTTGGATCAGGGTCTGTACCTGTCTTTAGGAAATAATCGATTTCTTCCAGAATCGGTTTGAGAACAGTCACCTGAGAGAGCGGTTTCTAGAAAAGAGGAGAGGCCACATGTAAGTTGCAGGGAACACTTGCTTCTCGTAAATTGAACCGTCAAGTTGCGAACTAATGGAACAAACAGATGGAAAGAAATCATAAAACTGACTGTCCTCTGAGGTGAAAGTGTCACTCACATCTGTAGGGACCTTGCAAACAGCCTCTGAGAGCTGCATATGACACAATGCCAAGCATAGGGCCAGATCAATGTGCTCGCCGGATAACGCGGTACTGTCATACCCGTTGGATCCGACCATGGTGCTCGCAACAGCGCTCTTGAGGGGGAATGTGGGCAAAAGAATCGGGTCTCTAATCTGCCTGGAAAACTCTGTAGGAAATTGATATCCTATTCCGACGAGGGGCGATGGGGACTGCATTCTGTCGAACGTGATCGACGGAGGGTTGTTTAAGCTATGTATTCCAGTGGTTGGTAGGCCGGATATGCTGCGTGTCAAGATCTGCAAGAAGGAAGAGGGGGATGAGCATGTGTAGACATTGCCTCACTTGCCTGGCACTCTCGTAACAGTGACTGCTGGAGTGACTTACGGAGGATGAACTTGAGGTCGATTCGGGGCCTATGGGTCTCTGTCCCATTGGATCGTCTTTTCCATCCAATATATTCGTGAATCCTGTGTGATGAGATTGACTGCTAAAAACCCGGCTGGAATCTACGCTCGCCTTCTGATAGATATCTCGCTTAAACGTGTGCACAGGGTGAAGTTCACGGGAAACGGTCGGGCTTGGGGAAGAAATAGCTTCAAGAAAGCGTCGCATTGAAGGCAGCTGTTCGGTTACAAATGGATTCAAGAAAGACATGTATCCTTCTTTGGCACCAGAAAACACGCTGAAGTTGGCCAAGGATTGGATGGCTTTGGCTACCTGGAAAATAGTAGCGGACCGAGTGAAAGTAAGCACTTTACCCGATGAGAGAGATGAAAAAAGGCAAAACTTTGAGCGTCTCTTACCAGGGTGAATGCACGTAAGACACGCTGATCACTGGGGAATTCGGATATCAAGCCAAACAGTGAGGGAGACAGAATGGCCGGGCAAATGTAACGCAGGAAAAGACACGCCGATATGACATGTTCCGACATAGTGGCACTGGGGAGCGATCCATCAGACACACTGCCACCAGTTGGCGGAAATGCCGCATCCAGTTGTTGTCGAACAGAAGCGAACATCATACGCAACTTTCTGAAAAGTGAAAATAAACGGCAGTCCAAATTACTTAGCGAAAAGCTAGTCTTACAGGTACAGTGGGTACAAAATCAATGGAATAGTACTCTACACCTAATCTGTTAGAGCAGGGTCATGAGACCTCATCAAAACTTGACAGATTTCCAACTAGGCTGGCTTCCCTTCAATTTAATCCTCCCAAGGGATCTCGATTCTGCTATTTCTGGGGATGAACACAGTGAATAGGAAAACGGGCCCTGTGATGTTGTCACCTCACCGCCATTCAGCCATCCGGTCTCGATTGGTCAATTAAGAAATTTCCAAATTTGGAGTTGATATGTTGGGTGCTTTCAGCTCATGTGCATACAATCAGGCACGTTTCTCTCTTATGCATCGATGTCACTGTTCAACGGTGTATCATGCTAGCACGAACACAAACAGTTATTTTGCCGCTACTTCATGGCTCGTTTAAGTAAGGGACGCTGGATCCTTTGTAGTGCTCATCTTCAACATGTTCTAGTGTACCCTTCAACTTTTCGAAACTGCGTACAACTACTGAAATAAATCAAATGGTAATCTTTCAGTTGTAGCAGCACCATTTTGGTGCCCAGCTACCATGCCATCCGAGGGAATCACGACGGCTGAGATCCTGCCAGGTTGTCGCAGCCTAGACAGGAACAGTCGAGATGCCGAGGTTTGCTTCGAACCACATGCCTTTTGGTTAGTAAATTCGTGCCTTAACAACTGAGCTTATTACCAATGTATTATGTCGAGGCGTCGTCCAAACTGTGAAAGGATGGCAAACGGAGGCCAATTCGGTCCTCGTCGTGTCCGGTACTTGTGTTGGTTTTTTACGGTTAATTCGTTTGGGCTCCACGAAGCTGAAATACGCGAAGTTCAGTGTTTGTCGCAATACATACTGATCGAGACTATAGGCTCTGAACTCTTGAGACATCATTTAGCTGACTGAACGTCGTAGGTTTGGTGATCCACATATCGAGTTCGTTCGCCGAGTGTAGAAGATCCCGCAAGGCTGAGGGATAAAGAAATATCTGTTAGTTCGTCCTTTCCACTCTCAGATTAACTGGGTGAGTCACTGAAAAATTTACTAGCACTCAGCATAGATTAGCTTTACTTACTAGACAAACACTCCACTGAAAAGTACCCAACCTCCTCAAGTAACCATCCGAATCTACGAAGTTCGGAAGGACGAATAATTTACATGACGAGTGAACCTGTCATCTGAGAAGTCATCACTCGAAGATCCAGTCAACACGTGACGTGATGTGTATTCCGTGGTTGATGGATGAGTGACGCTATATTCTGTCCGGATGTCCCATACTGCTGATCAGTCGCTTGTGATCGTACGGTTCAACTATTAGGCAGGACTCGCGAGCTTCTGAAGTCTTGTGAGATGCTCAATGCTGATAACTTCCAGTACGGATAAAACAACTGTACGGTGCTTCTCCGCTGTTTGTCACAGACTGGCTTTATTTAAAGAACAAGCACTCCGTTGAAAAAAACTTTCACTTTCAGGGCAACTGCTTGGACTATTTCCAGAACCCGAGAATTATATGTTCACCGTTTTATCGATGCGAAACGATTGTTATATTTGCCACAGCTTCTTTGGGGAAGTGGGGCAGGTAGTTGCGCATTTGAGGTGGTAGCTGGCCTAAGTGATGCGTAAATACAGGGTTATCAGTGGACTGAGGAGATCAGGAGAGTAGCTATTCATTGAAGACAACCGCTCGGATGTCTGAGCGCCATTGAGGGCGCGACTGGGTAGTGTCCGGCAATCCCTAACCATTGATATGTCACATCTCTAACACACACACACACATCTCAAACACTAACAAGTGAGAAGCACTGGACTCGAGTTGTCTTTGGACCAGAGTTCGTCATCAGCGCTTATCCCTGTGCACTTCGGTAATCTGGCATACGAGTGGAGAGCTAACTCGTGGTTCGTCAGCGCGCGCTGCGCGATTGAACGGGCGAGCACACTCGCACTGTGTTTAGTTCACAAGGCTTCCCGAAAAACGATTCAGTGGTTGTCGTGGCGGTCCCAGTTAAGTGACTTGGACGTACACGAGTAACTAATGTATGGATGTGAGGGAGACCAGTAACTAAGAGCGACCACGTCGTGCGCATGTCGAATTTTTATAAAATCTTGCTACTCGTGAGTAGTTTGGAATAATTCTAGTAAGGGCACCTAAGCTCTTTCGACGGCCGTTGGTCGCCTCTGCGCGACCGATGAGGTCACCCCATCGCCGTGTTGCTTGTGCACATCAAATGGGTAACGGTGACAGCTGACAACTAAGCACCCGCGTGAGGAGCTTCACTGCTGGAGAACTGCACCGTCTGACCAAGCGGACCCCGCATTTCCCTTCGCTCGTGTTTCCAATGGAGAGAATAAAATGAATGAAATAATTCGATGCACTTTCTCCTTGATGGATTGCGCCCAGGCCAACTGCCAGAAGATCAGAGTCAGTCTAACTCACCAAATTTTGTCACCGTGGTGATGTGAGCAAAACTGGCGGTTTTTGCAGCGGCTGGAAAACAGTCCACCTTTACCTTCTCGCGGTCTTCGGCAGTTGTCCAGAAATTGGACCGACTTATTTTAGAACTATATTTAAGTCCGCCATATGCCGCACTCCGTGTGCTGGGCAAAACGTTTAACCTTAGGAATCTGCGACATGATTATCTGGGCTCTTTCAGTAGTGTTGTAAGTAGTATGAGTGCAACCAGAAGTTCACTGATAAATGTAACCACAGAAATGTTCACCAACACGGATGAACTAGTTCGTCAAGTTCTATTGGGGTGAATAGTTGTGGGGTTGTTTTGGACTGCAAAAAATGAATGAATGAATGAAGTGGTTTCCATGAATTGAGCTTCTGCGCGAGGCACAAAGTCGTCACTATGTGTGTCGAAATATTCAATGCTCAGTCGAACGATTATGCAGCTTGTATTGCCTAACTGAACTTGCTGAGTAGTTTTCAAGCCTGTCTTCTCAAGCCATGTGTGAATAGACATCCGGTAGTTAATGCCTTGGCAACCCATAGATAGCACTGCGAGGATTTCTGATGTTGAGTGACGGTCCACAATCGATTATCAGCTCGGTTTTACCGGTTCAAGCGCCTGGTATGTCAAATGGTCATGGAGACGAAGGCGCACAGACAGACACGAGTAAGTAGATGTGTGACCACTGCTAAACCATCTCTAACAGACACGTTCTTGTCAGTGAAGCTCACTCAAGAAGACAAACTGAATGGTACTCATAAATGACTCATGATGTCTGCCATCGGCCAACTTTTTTTCACTCAGAAACGCACCAGTACTTCTGTGTCTGAAGTGTCTCAGATTTGGAGACGGCAGGTCGATAGTTTGGTCTGTTGTCTACTGAAGCGGTCATACGTGCTCATACCCACTGCCCACAAGTGCGACGGGCAGATCGATGGTGGACAATGGAGCTTCACTTCCCAAACGGTGAGTGGGGAATGACTCACCCATAGCTGCTGACTCATCATCATCGTGGTAGTCAGACGTACAAACCGCGTACTTGCCGTACACTGGTTATAGCTGCCACAGTTCCTTTCACCAGTGATTTGGGGATATGGGCTAGATAGCTACGCAGTGCATGTGGGAGCTAATGTAATCGATGCGTAAATACAGTGAGTTTTTTCATTGAGGAGATCAGGAGGTGAGTTGCTCATTAAGGGTAACAACTTGGATGCATGGGCGCCATTGAGGGGGCGACTGGGTCATATCTGACAACGCTTCTGACCGTTGATGTGTCCCGTCTCTGGGTTCAAATCCAGGGAGACAGTAGTGTCCATCGCAGCTGGGTTTGCTGGTAACTGCTTTCAAACTTCGCTGCCAAGTCATTGTTTGACTCCCCTCTGGCTCATTTTCACCCTTCATGTGATTTGGCGAAAAAAAGCCCTTCGAGGAAGTCGGTCGACTTCAGCATTGATGATCGGGCGATGCTCCGGAGATATCAATGCTCAAACACAAAGTCTTTTGACGTCCTCAGCGCGCAGCTGCTAGGCTTCTAACCCGTATGCTACTATGGAGCGCACCGCATCATCCTATACTCGACCCTTGGAGGATAAGCTTATGTCACGCCTACGCCACAGGTGACGCAGATTCACAAAAGCTGCTGTGGCTTTCTTGATCCGGATGGAATTATCCTCTTTGGCTACACCACCGGGAATGATAAAGCTGCCCATGTAGATAAATTTGTCTGCTATCTCAAGCGGCCCATCCGCAACCATGAGGTTAGAGTTCGAGTGCACCCAGTCTTGCAGTAGCACTTTACACTTTGCAGGTGTGAACCGCTGCCAAACCATGAGAGAGGATTAGTTAAATTACTTCATATTGCTCGCGTCACGACGGCGTCAGACTCCAGAAGAGCTAAGTGGTCCGCGTACTCGATACCTGTAAGCGAATGCCATGTGAGCATTTCTACCCCTAATGCATTAGAGGCTGATAACGAGTCTTCCATTATCGTATTAATGATGAAGTTGAAGAGGAGAGGTGGAAAGGACAGGTTTGCCTGAAATCACTTAATGTAATACACTCCCCGCGGACCGTCACACATCCGTGGAAACTGGCGTACAACACCTCGAGGAGGGTCAAGAATCTATGGGGGACACCTGTGCTCCATATACTTTGCCACAGCTGTTGATCAAGAATTTTGAATGAGAGTGCGCGTCAAACCTCGGTAAATTAGAACCTGAGCTAAACATACGCATTAGAACAGAAAACTAAGACTCCCGTTTCAAATATATTAGTGCTGCTACGGGGAGTGTATAGAGTTAATCGTGAGGCACAATTTTTACTAGCGTTTGATACAAACACGCCTGGTTAAACCCCTAGGCACTCATCTAGCTATGATAATAGAAACGGTCTGCGCGGGACTGGAAGTAATAGTGCATGCGATGCGGTGTAAATCCGGCGCTAAAAGACGCACAAACCCGTTGATCCCTACCAGCCAGTCTAAGAGAGCTATGATTCGATCT